GGGGAAATCACACATTGCTGAACTAGAGAAGGTAAATAAAGTCTAAAATGCTCAATGCTAAACAAGATACTACTGCTTATTCACTGGCACAAGGGACTAAACTTCGCATATAGTGAAAGCACAACTGGTAAAGCAGTAGCGATCTTGTCTGGTGTAGCTATTTCCTTTTCAACTTAACTAGTGATATACTCCAAGACTTAAAGGGCTGGGTGGGTCCTAAAGTTATTGGGATTATACAAGCAAACAGGATAAGTAAGACAATAGGGACATATCTGTGCCCAACACAAATGTGAAATAGCACAAATTCCCCTGCCAGTGATGTACACATGAAAACAGACCTACTCTCCCTCTCATATTCTTCTGACCATCTGTTAAAACCCTCTCACGTTCCAGCGTCTCTTACTTACCATCTGGATCACAGAGTTTCTTCAAAGCCCTGCACATCGGAGCTTTGATACGAAGGTTTCTGCCTTTGTAACGAACAGTCGTAGCCCTGAATACATTGAAAGAGAAGTATTTGCAGGCACCATTAAGAAAAGTTTGTGAATACATACATATTACGGACACAGAGTCAAATACAATCATGGCTACAGGAATGAACAAAGAAATGTAAGGGTTTGCAGTGCAGACTCACAAGAGCATTCAATCTTTTCTATCACCTCACTTTTCATCATAGAAATGCTACTCTTGTGACCCTCCTCTTCCAGACTTTCATGAAACACAGGGCTGTCCACTTAGGGAGGGATTGCTATTTTATAAAGCGGACCAGAATTATGTTACTTCGGTTGAAGAGTACTCTCAGAGGCAGCTTCTTCATAAAAGACAAGTGGTTTTGTTTTTGTCTCCTCTTTATACTCCTAACTTCTGATTATGGGAAGAAAAAGTCTAAAGTCTTTGAAGAATCTTCCATTCTAGAATATCAACACCACATCTGTTGCAGAAATGAGGACTAACAGTTTGTGCGGGAATCTGAACAAAGTAACTTTTACAGTATGATTTCACTGGCTTTTAGCTTCAATACCACATTAACAGCTATGAAGATCCTTAAAAGCAAGAGGCCATTTTTGTTTTCACACAGTGGAACTATTTGATTCCCTCACTCAGTCAGCCCTGTTTTCTTTTTAGAGACTTAAAAGGCAGGCATTGAGACCAACAAAGTTACTGATGGCAGTATTTATTACCTAATACTTCAAGCAATAAGGATCAGCTAGCATAGAAGCAGCAGGATTGAACACAAGTTCTTGCAAGTACAATGAAAGAAATTACGGAGAATATTTGTACAGCAGGATCTTATTTTTTCCTATGCTGTTAGGAAGACAACATCAGCAGAAACAGCACCTTGTCTACACTGCTAAGAGGGAAATTCACAAAAGGGCAGCAGAAGTGAAGCCAGACCTGAGAAGACGGAGTTGATGAGGTAAGCAGCTCCTAAGTTTCAGTTATTAAGCTGTGCACTTCTACAGATTCAGAACATCCCAGGGCTGGAAGGGCAGATTTCCTCAATCTCCACTAAGTTACCAGAAGCTAGAGGGAATATGTTAGCCTTCACTCCTTCTAATGAGCTCTGACACAGAAGTAGTGATGGCTCAATTAAGAAAAGAGGAGAAGGCTCTCAAGTGCTGAGGAGAAACCAGCAATAGTGCTACTTGTGAAAAAATAAAAAAGACCCAAGAGCTACTTGCCTGGTTTTAAATAGCGCTTCCTATTTCCGCATCTGCAACAGCAGACAACACTACAGCTGCCGTAACAGAAGCATTGTTGTCACCTTCCCTCTTTCAACTTAACCCTAACCTGAATTGTTGGAAAGTTGAATTGTTTGAAGATAGTGGGTCCCACCAAGTACAACGGTCAATCTCTGCCAGTGGAAAGACTCTTAGAGGAGGACATAGTAACACCTGCGGATATCTAGTCAATAGCATAAGGTAACGATGAAAGGTAAAACTTCCTCCTGGTCATTGCAATGGACACATTAGCCTTAACGCATGAGGCTCAATATCCTCTTGCCATTATATTAAAGTGCAGGTATGATTTTATCAGAAAATCAGCATTTTTTAGAAAATAAATCTCCTGAAAGTAAGTTTAATCATATGCAGCTAGCATCCTTTTTTTTTTTTCATGTGTAAATAAACCAAGTTTTAATACAAGTGAGGATGAGATCAGTATGAATCAAGACAAACTCACTTATGTCAAGTTAACAGGAGCTGCAAATGTATAAAGACAGGAAACTTGACTACAAATTCTGCTGCTCTCAAATTCAGCTGGTCATTGTTCAGACAACTTCTCTCTTGGGTCTGAATCTTTAGGTGGAGAACCTCCACTTTTCTTTAGAAGCCCAAACTTTGGTCTCAGCCAGCAGTCAGAAGCGGCAGCCTAGTATAAAAGTGCCTGGTACAAAACCTGAAGGATTTGGCAGAACCCAGAGAATTTGTAGTAAACAAAAACTCTAGATACATTATTACATTTTTTTGTCCAGTGCTTATTATTATTTCCTCAAGAACAGTAACTGGAAAAATGGCTGAGGACTAAAAGTCTTCAACTTTTACTACAGCTCCTAGAAATCTCTCTTCCTGTTACATAGTTTTACACTTAAGTAACACATCCTCATGATTCACAACAAACACCCTTTACCTTTAACTGCTGGGATTCAATGAAAGCTGTATTTACTCTATTACCACTCATGCTGTTCATCACAGTAAGTAATTTTATAAAGCTCATGTTGAGATGACAGGATGCATGAATGCGCCCAACCACTAGAAAACGCGAAGTCTGGGAATGTGATAGAATGGTTGTACGGAAAACAATGCTGCTGCATGAACATGCCAAAATCGATGTCTTCCTTGTTCCTGCAAGGAGTTAATTACAGCAATCAGAACTGCTGTCATGATTTCCTTGCTTAGTGAAGACATGCCTAGATGTTCCCTCCTGTTCTAGTAGAAAACACAGTTTCATAATAGCCTCACACAAAATCCACTAAAGCCAGTGAAAATAAATCCAATAATTCAATGCACCTTGAAACGGGCTGCTAAATTGCAAATTTACATTACTTTAGGACAGCAAATTCTTTTGACTACTTATGCGAGCTGAGACTCTCCTCCTGCATCTTGATTTTAGCTAATGCAAGACCTTTTTATCAAATGTGCCCTTGAATTAGCTGCATGCAAGTGAAGAGTCAGAAATAGCACTATTATTATTATTATTATTGTAACTTTGACAGTGTAGGGGTATAAGTAAGAAGGGGTTTGTGGGGAGAAACATTATTTCTTCTTAGATTAACTGATATGACTACATAAAACAGACAAGCTTTGTGGAAATTGTTCCGTCACATGCCTTGAAAGAAGGGCCTGAATGCTCAAAAGGCTATTTGATCCACCTAGAACAGCTGAGCTAATTTGATCAAGAAAAAGAAGGAAAAAGAAAAGCGCTGCTGTTCATTTTTCATATTTTCTATTTCTCTTAAAGAGCCTAACTAGTTCGTCATAAAGACTCAATTTATTATTGAGTCAGGCTTCCTGGCAGTTGTTCCTGATCAATTTGTCTACCACCTGCTCAGCTGCACCTTGGGTTGCAGATACCCACTATCTGTTACCACCACAGAGCAGCTCACAAATGAACAACCTATCAGCATCATAAGCTCCTGGCTGCATTTGTATCTATGCTTAAAAAGCAGAGAGGGGAAAACAAAAAACCCCACCCACCAAAACCTAGGATAAAAGCCAGAAAAGAAGTGTGAAAAACATAAGTATATTACGGAAAAGATATTAAAAAAACCTGTAAAAATCTAGGAGAAAAATCATATTGGAGGAAAGGAAAGAAAACAAATGCAAAACTACTGATAGCCCTAAAGGAGGAGCAGGAACTACTGTTATTCCCCGAGTGCTGAGTGAGAATGGCACAGTTTAGAAGTTAGCAAGCAAAATACACTGTTCAGTAAATGAAGGAACACAGAACACACATAAATTTGACAAAGCAACGTTAAAAACTTCACACGGAAGTTTTTGCCCTGGTACTACAGCACTCTTCCATGACTACAGCAATCAATACTTGTTATTTTCATTGTTCCCTAAAATACGTTTTAGAAGTAGCAACCCAGCTCTCTAGATTCAGGTGTTCTGCTTGGAGAGTCAGGAATAATTCCCCTAATTCCCTTTTCCATAAAGTATGATGGGCTTCAAGCAATCTAGGAAGAATCTGATAATAAGTTATTCTTTAAACTAATATAAAATGATATATATTTAGAGACTGCAGTTTCCTAATTGAAATCCATGGCTGGGAGGCTGGAAAAAGAATAGTTCCACTAATTTAAAAGAAATAAACAGTAAAAAGGAGATAGCCTGCAACAGAACTACTCTTAGCTTAAAAATACTTATTTCCTTCTCTTCTCTTCCCTAGATCCTGGATGTTTCCAAATGCAGAAAATGGTAAATCTTAAGAAAAGTTATTCTACTGAATATGCATTAAGAACTACTAGTATAACTTGACACCAACAGTTCTGCCTACTTAAAAAGATCGTTTTTGTATACGAATTTTTTCACGATGAATTGCTTAGTTTTAGGGAGTTACAAATTCCCCCGCAGTATGCCAAACAGCTTTTACAAGGAGCAATGAAGGATCACTCCTACTCCACACAAAGCACACCCAGTCACTGAACCAGACAGATCCATCAATACCTGTTAAAAGTTTCTGTCTAACGGTCTTTCTTACTTGTGATATTAAGAGCCTCTCAGGTTGGGGGGCAAAACCACATATGCTAACAGACACTGAGTAGTACTGTGCTTTAACTGTTGCGTATTTACGGTATTTCTTTAATTATGTGTTTGTTGTGGTTTGGGTTTTTTTTTAACTCATCCACAAATCCTACAGATTTACAAAGACATCCAGAAAATATTTTTATTTCCTCAAATGTAGTTTTTTATTAAATGTAAAGATTGTTGTAAAACCTAAGTTAAATAAAAATGTTTCACTCCTAAAAGTGAAACAAAACAAAACGCCTTTGGTTTAAGTTTATTTAAATGGGTTTCTGAGCAGTTCTGATATACTGTCATAAATCTTTGTTTCTTGTAATATCCTAATCACACAATCTAGCAACATATTGTTGCTGTAATAAAAAACTAGCAACAAAGGACTGGACAGAAAGTGATTCAGATTCCCTGTAATTTCTAAGGGAGCTTTGTTTCAGTTGTCCTGCTTAGTGATTCTGAAACTTCTTTAAGCAGCTCGTGTGGGCCGGTGTTGACATGAGTATGCTAAACTACTCAGACCAGTTATAAAAGCTGACAGAACAATTCCTATCTTCCCCTTGCAGTTATAAATATCTAAACTTTGATCTATTTTCTCAAAGATCCCCAATCCATTCAACTACAACTCTATCAAAGGCTATGGTCTAGCCTGATTTTACATGTTACTGAAATTCTGAAGTACAGAGACATGTAGCAGTCAATGGCCTTAACTTCAATGACCAAACAGGACATTTCACACAAAGGTTTTGCCATTACTTGAAATAGCCAGTTGATTAAGTTTTCAGGCACTATTTAGTATCTGTGACCTGGTTTATAAGCTCAGCTGGGAAGATTTTAAATATGGCTTTCTTACGAGCACCTCACAGGGTCATTTGTTTTTCCATATACCATGTAATTATTACAGAAAGCCAGAGATGATGTGTAACATAAGCAAAATATGCACCGAATTAGAATGTATAACTCCAGGGTCTAGAGTCATCCTGCAAATAAATTGCCAGGTAGCTCTTCACAATCTTAGGCTCTCTTGACATTTCTTACCAATTAAATGAGGCTCCTAGTTCAGGAGAAGATCATCAGAATAATGCATGTTCGCATTCCCCACTTTTAATCACTTTGGATTCACTTTCACACAAGACTTTCAACACAGTGACAAGCCCTACAAAGTGCACTGCACTCAGAGAAGTGAGACACTCAAGTATCACACTTGAAACAAACACGTTAGAAACTGAAAAAAAGAACTGCTTACAAATAGAGAGGGAGATCACAGAATTGTAACATCACTGAGCAAGACGGAAAGTTTAATGGGATATATGCAATGTGTTTGCTTTTGTGAGATATGAGGCTGCCCTGCATGTGCAGTGGATTAATTCAGATGGTGTAGACATCCAGGTGCTAATGAAGATGAAAATGTGAACATTGTTTCCCTGCACGGTTTGCTCCTCTTCGACTGACAAGGTTTACCCACCAAATGGGGTAAGAGATGCAGGAGAAAAAGGGAAGCAAAGATGTGTTTCTCCATCTGGTAGACAACAAGCCTATGCAAGAGCAACTATTTCTGAACTGCCTAAGAATGTTAATATTATGTACACTCTAGTTTTTGGTTAGAAGATTAGCATTAATATTTTCAAATGCAAAGACTCTTGTTTTCAATATGGTTTGTTACAAGACTGGCTTTTATAGAATAAACACCTAGACTTCACAGAAATCATTAGCCCTCATTAACAATTACTCAGAAGAACTAAGGCCTTAATCATGCAAAGTGCTTAGACTGATACTACAGCTTGCTAGAAGTCATCAGTCTCATTTATTACGGTTTAGTCTATTTGGATGACACAGTATTAGAAAGGCTCTCCAGTACAACACAGAAAGACCAAAGTGACTGCCTATATCCTGAACTCTAGAGATATTCAGGACAGTAGGGAAAAAAGGCTCATCCCAGGCCCATTTTAAACAATAACTCCAATTTAAAGAAGTAATTTGCTTTAAGAATAATTTCGTTACATGAAAAAGCTTACTGCTAAGATTTTCTTAATTGTACAAAACCCAAACCAAATGGCAATTTCTTTTCTAATTTCAAACTTCGCAGTTAACAAAAGAATGAACAAGTGATTTAATAAATAATCACATTCAAGACCTGCAACACAACAGCATGCTGTACAAAACGCATCTCCCAGGAGATGAACGGTTAATAAACTCTAAGGAACTCATTTGAAAACTCAGTTTGTGAACAATAGAAAGGCGCAACAACAAGTATCCATTTTATGTAAGGTAAAGTCAAAAAGTCAGCAACTGCTGAGTGGGCAAACTCTTCCTCCTGTTTACAGTGAAGTTAACTTCATCAATAATTTGTCTGCTGCAATGAAGCACCCTAAAAGCACAAATGCCAAAAGTAAAAAGGGGTCTGTAACAGACAGAAAATAATACTATTTTCAAATCACTTTTAAAGACATCATTAGGACAAACCAATGTCTGCTGAGTGATGCCCGCTTAATGATCACACTCCTTAAAATAATATCCTTTGAAAGAGATTTCACTTTAGAATACACAAATTCTAAAAGCAGGACTGCTTCAGAAAATTTTACGTACAAATGTATCAGGTATTTCCTCATTTCTAATAGTACAGCAACTTCTAACCCCCTCTGTATTCTAAAAGTACATTGCCAAGACTGAACCCCCAAATCCCGTAATTCTTTCTTGAATTGAAAGAGAATACTCGTTCTTCAAGTCAAGTAGATGTAGAAGCAACTGGAGGACTGAGGCCTACGGAGGACTGGAAGCGTCATTTCAGGTCTGAAAGTCAGGACTCGTGAGCACTGTTGGCACAACTGTTTGGAGATGAACTATATTCCCTACAGTGAATCAACATAGTTATAATGCCGTAACTTCTGCAAAGAATTCTCTTTTCATTACCTTCTTAAACTTCACCCATCATTTGTTACTAGTAACAATTAATGGCTTCATGGAAAAGGGGAGAAAAAAACCCATACAGAACAAACTAAGAATGGAAAATGTCAAACAGCAGCTTTAAAAAAGTAAGAAATGCCCCCTAGACTCTGGATGACCAATTCAACAATCAAGCTGCTGAACAACCCAATTTTAAGAGTTTCAGGAAAAAGTTCTTACTTACCCGGCTTGAATGAGCTCATTGAGTTTAGCTGCATTCTTGTCATCCATACCTTTACATGAAATGGGATAACACAGTGAATTAGGATTTAAAGTGATATAGTCATGACCTTTTTTTGTGTCCTGTTTGGTTTTCAAAGCTACTACATTTTATTCTCACATAGGATTAATGTGCGTAAATATGCTATAACGTACCCTTTCTGAAAAGTTTCTGTTTTCATAATGTGCAAGCTTTATACGATCCTTGCCATGAAAATTACATTTTACTCATGGATTAAATGACCGTAGCTTAGGTGCTACAGTATCTTGGATTGCTGGGCGTTAATCTGATGTTGCAGTATTAAAAAGAAAAAGTCCTCATCTTCCTGCTCAACCTCTGTTGCTAAGGCAGCACAGCCTAATGAAAGAGCATCAAGCCCTCACAGTGCTGAATGCAATAAAAAAAGTAAACAAAAATAATAAAATGCACATGTAGCCCACACTTTTCTTCTATGCATTATACAGCACGTTTTTAAATGGACATTATGGTAACTTGATTTATATCCCAGTTAGGCCCAGATCTATTTACTGAACAATTAACCTCCCTCTGGCAATGCTGAAAGTATTCCTGACATGCTTTCGTGGCTCAATAGCTCTACGTAAGCCACCTCAATTTCTGGGAAGATGGGACTGGGTGAATACCACAAGAGGGAAAAAAAAAAAAAAGATAAAAAAAAGAGAGAGAAATAAACTACTTTCACTAGCTGCAGAGCAGACCTCTCATAAACTGGGTGTAGAAGCTTGCAGCTTAAGCCCATGTGGTCTTGGAGACTAGAATTTTCCAAGTGACAGGGGGTAAAATACGTAACCAAGTACCAAAGTTATAAAAAGACAGAAGCACAGAGTATGCATGCATTGCCATGGTGACTGTGTGAAACCTTATTCCCAGTCATAGTAAGGAGGGTCTGCTGATGCTTTTAAGACAAGACGTGGATATAAGGAAGAAACACTAATACTGATTTCTACTGACAATGCAATCTGTCTTGCCTCTGCACCTTCTTTGTCATGAAAGAGTTCAAAATTGCTTTTCCAAGATGAATTAACACACTGGAGATCTTTGAAGAAACAGAATAAAGTCAGTGTGAACATTCACAACAGTCTCGTTCATGACACATTACAATAAAAATCCCAGGTGAGGAAATAACATAGCAAAAAAAAAAAAAAAATCTGCCAAAATACCACGATTCTATTAGGAATTGTACACGTCCACTCATTAAAGCTTTCTCGTCTTTTGCACTTTGCAACTAGCATGACTTTACAAAGAAGTGAAAGTATTTTCCTGATTTTTCCATGCCTCACAAATTAAACAAAATACATAGAAGATGCACTATGATAGAAGATGCGCTGACTCAAAAAAAAAAATACTGGGGACAAATGAAAAAAAACCACAGATAGGAAGGTATACGTGCATGGAGTAGCGCATACAGTGCATGTTCCTCCGCCCATTCTCCAAGCTAGCCACATTAGAGCTCTCTCTAGTCTGGAAGCCATAAACACCATGCGAACCATATCCTGGGCTGCATCAAAAGAAGCGTGGCCAGCAGGTCAAGGGAGGGATTCTGTGCCTCTGCTCTGCTCTGGTGAGATCCCACCTCACCTCTCGTGAGTACTGTGTCCAGCTCTGGGGTCGCCAGCACAAGAAATACGTGTACCTGTTGGAGCAGGTCCAGAGGCGGCCACAAAAATGATCAGGGGGATGGAACACCTCTCCTATGAGGAAAGGCTGAGAGAGTTGGGGTTGTTCAGCCTGGAGAAGAGAAGGCTTCAGGGAGACCTTATTGCAGCCTTTCAGTACTTAAAGGGGGCTTATAAGAAAGATGGGGACAGACTTTTTAGCAGGGCCTGTTGCGACAGAACAAGGGCGAATGGTTTTAAACTAAAAGAAGGTAGATTTAGACTAGATAGAAGGAGACATTTTTTATGATGAGGGTGGTGAAACACTGGAACAGGTTGCCCAGAGAGGTGGTTGATGCCCCATCCCTGAAAACATTCAAGGTCACGTTGGACGGGGCTCTGAGCAACATGATCTAGTTGAAGATGTCCCTGCCCATGGCAGGGGGGGTGGACTAACTGACCTTTAAAAGTTCCTTCCAAACCAAACTATTCTATGATTCTATGAACATGGTACTAAGCCTAAGCTCAGGTATCTTGCTAATGCAACTAACCAACTTGCAGAAAACGGGAGAGCATTGGTATGGCATATACTCAATCCATCTACACTCATCCTTATGGACAAAACCAGCTTCTGAGATTGACAAGGTCAGAATGCATCTTGGTTAGCCAGTAAAGTTGTTTCTTCTGATTATGATTTGTAATGCTTTTTCATCTTCAGGGTTCAATAAGTAAAGATTTAGAGACTGACTTAGAGAAGGGCACCATCCCAGATTTTGATTGCATAGGCAGAAATAATTGTGGGCGCAAGTTATATCACCTACACATTTAATTGCTTAGTTTTCAAGAATAATAACATAAACAGATAATCTAAGCTGTGTATACATTTATCTGCCATCTGTGGGTATTACATGCACTGCATTCCACAGATAGCAAAAGCTGAAGAAATCTGTCAAAGGAAAAAGGAGACTAATGCAACAGACCAAGGAGGTCTTTAAAAATAAAAATACATTTAATGAAAAAACAATACCACAGATTAGTGCAATAGAATACAATGGACACAAATTCTGAGTAACTCAAAAGTGAAACTGTACTAGACATTGCCAACTTCAAGGGTAGACACTTCTGATTCTACCATATAAAAATAATTTTAAGTCATTCATACTCACATCCCCCAATCTTCTTCCTTAGTTCTCCATAGCAGATTAAGCCATAAAGCTCCAGGGAAGATTTTTTCAGCCCTTGAGAAAACACTGAAAAGCAGAAAAGGTGTAAGTGAGATGCAGATTGCAGACACTCATACACAGCGACACTGCAGATACTCATTTCCACACTGAAAATGAAATTATTTGTATTTTCAATGATGAGACAAACACTTCATCGAAGGTAAGACTAAGTTCTCTTTCAAGAAACACTATAATGAGACAGGTTCACCAATTTCCTTTTAGTGACTTAAATATCTGGGAAATGCAACATTTTTTAGATTACATAAAAAACAAAGCAGCTTCCACAGAACTGAAAAAAATATGCAACAGTTCAATACACAAAATAAAGCTAACTCATAATAAAGCTAACTCTAGTATCACTTAACTGTTTACAATTTCTAAAGGAAATGTCCAGATGCCCCCAAGAAAATGCACATAGAACTCTTCCTTATATGAAAATCAAGAAGTAGGACTGAATTTTTCCAGAAGACAGAGAATATCTTCTGTGCACACGAATGCTCCTTAGAGATTCAATGCAAATTCTAGATTCTAAATTTTTATACAAAGAATTGCACACATTTTATTCAACTTCAGAAGTTTTTTTTCTCCTTTCTCATCAACACACATGATGCAGACATTACTATTGCTAATAGATCTAAATATCTATGACAGCACAGTCTTGTGGTTTACAAATCAGATGAAAATATTTATTCTTGTCTATTCATCAAGAATTCAGTTCTCTTTGACTTGCAGACTCTTTAATATAAAAAAACAGGCACACATATTTCTACCAATACTACAGCTAATGAAACTACTGCACTAATTCTTGAATTCCTACAGCCAATGAGATTTAGACCTTGTAGATATAGATACAGAACTTTACGTTATCCAGAAAACAGATGAAGTTCCTCCATGACAACTATTTTTTTTTTTTTAAAGTTCTTCCATAGTGTGTTTGCTGTAACATTTGTTTTTAAATAAAATACTAATGGCTTGTTTCATCTTAAAATGCTGTCTTGTTTTGAAAAAGGAACTCAAAAATACACCTTATGACAGATGTTTTAGAAGTGTAAGTCTCCCTCTAGATAACCTAATCTCAGGAAAAGACAAAACAATTTCATAAAGAGACTATATTGTATACCAACTTTGCTTTCCTTCAGCGTTTTTCTAGTCATATCCATTTTTCATTAATGAGTTATTTTTAATTTGAGCAGCTCTGGCCACAAATCATGTAGATTAATTTACTATCCAAACTTATGCTGATGTTAAAGAGAGTTGTTTAAAGACCAAAAAATTCAACCACCATAAAACTGCCATGATTCATGCAACTTAGAATATAGCATCAGAAGGACAGGAAAGTCCTAGAGACCTTTACTTGATCAACAAGCTAATGGCATAACTGACATTCTTCATACCTTAAAAAGTCAAAAGAACGAGGTCTTAGTTTTTACTAAACTGTTCACTGTGCAATAGATTTCTTTAACCTCCTGTTCAGGTTAGGCTACTCGCAAATTGACTTGAATTCTCACTGCCCGTTACCAAATAGTATGCATTTGATAAAAATCAATTATCAATGATCATATATTACTATTACTGTTACGGAACACCACTAGCAGTTCATATGACTTCCCAATTTCCTTTTCATTCAACAAGCTGGGGAAGGAGGGAAAAGAATGGGAAAAGGGGAATATGGCACTGGGAATCCTAAGTTACTGAACCAATGATACAACTGCAGGCTTATTTAAAGTGTGAGCAAGTATTTCACCATTTACACTTGTATCGGACTATTTATTTATTTCTACCTTCCCTCAAGAAGTGCAAAGTAGTGCTGGAGTCAATTTGCTCGATGAAGTCATGCCTGACTAACATTTAGATAGCTGTCCTCAAAGGTGTGCCCCTGAGAACAGAAAAACATTTCCTTGAACCTGGCTTTTCCCCAGTATTAATAGTAGAATCAGCATTTACTATGGTGTGGTGAATTGATATAAAAGCAGTGATACAAATACCAGTTTTTGAGAAGTATTTTTCAAAAAACATGAACTTCAGTATGGCCATGCTAATAAAAATAAGACATGTTCACAGACATCCTATTCAGTATTTTTTTTTCTCATCTCCACCACTCCTACCCTCCATGACGGCAGTAAAAGGCAGGACTCCAACCCTCACGAGACTGTGAGCTCTACACTAAGCCTATTTCATTGCATACTAACCATTATCAAAGTCAATGTACTTTGAGATCTTGTGCCAGGTGCGGTAGTAGAAATGGCGGACCTGTTCCTTATTCTTCACCATGCTTGCTGGTTTGCCTTTCTTCTTGTATTTCAGGGCAATGTTGTTCTGGATAGCTTCAAAGTCCTTCCCATGCTGACGAATAAATAAAACAAATCCAAATACTCAAAACCAAGCGTGTATCTTGTGATAAGACAACTCAAACATGAGGGACTTTGGGCTTCTTTGTGGGAAATTAGATTTTCAATGGTCGTAAAATTCTTGGGTATCAGAACTCAACAGAACAAGAATGACACTGGTTTCCTTTATTTTATATAAAATGCATTACAGATGCCAAATAAACTACTTTCCAATTTCTTGAACTGCTTCAAAATAAAAACTGCAAGTTGCTAGCAAACTTTTTAAAAAAAACTTTACTCATAAATGTGCTAAGAAGCAGAACTGAAAATACCAACTTTCTCACTTAGCTTTCTTTACTCTCCTCTGCATTTCTCCCCTCTCCCTCTTACCTCCATTTCTGACTAGAGTGAATGAAAAGCCTATTACATTTAACAGCTTCACTTTTATTTACAGTAAATTTCAGGTTCCTGTTATTAGGCGTACATAATTTGAGTTTCAAATAATGAAGGAAAATATTATGTTTTTAAAAAAGTAAAAATAAAAAACTGCTTATAGAAAACACATTTTTACACTGTAGATCATTCAGAAGTTTATTCTCAGGGTAAAAATAAAAATGAGACACGTAAGTGTTCCTTTAAAACTAGCCAATTCCTATAAAATCCTTGGAGTTCAAAAAAGGTTGGAACTGATTTAAATACAAAGTGTGAAAACCTCTTTTGAAAGGTAGGGACACAAAATGAATGGAAGCGGGGGACCAAAAACTGAGTCCCAAATCCATCTTAGAGCAAATTTTTGAACTCTTTCCTCAGCATTCAAAAAAAAAAAAAACAACCCCCAAAACATGTTCTTTGAGTGATAAAGGGACTTAAAAATTACATGATTCCCAGGAATATTACTGCAAGTCAGAGGAGTTAAAAAAAGAAAACAGTGTTTAAGTGCTCATTTTGTCCACAAAAATATATACTCGTGAATCATGCCTACCACTAAAAAAAAAATTTTTTTAAAAAAGATGCACACATGCAAAGAAAACCCACCACCTTTTCTTTTGTTTTCACTTTTAGTATGTATTTTCATAACAGAAGTGCTCTTAAAATAATCATAAGAAAAGACAACCAGGAATACATCGTAAACATCTTACGAGATAAAAGATAAGATGATCTAAGTTTTCTTTGTCTCTCAGCCCTAGTACAAACTTTTTCATGGTCAAAGACTAAACACAGTGCCTACAATTCTTATTAGAATTGAACATATTTTCTTGTTTGCTAATATTACAGCATAAGTGTGTTGCTTTTGAAAGTTGAGATGGGGACATTATTTATTTATTTCTCATTTGAAACAGAACCATAATTGAAAAATAATTTAAATTATTACAAATGTTCATGAATAAAACTCACGAATATTTCCTGTGTTTCAAAACAAAAAAAAGCTTGACACTTTTGAAATGTGGCTTTGATTGACAGCTGATTTATACCCAGCTGTATAGACATGTATGCATAGACAAACAAATGCATATGTGTACATATGCATTTTGCTCTTGCAAATCTCAACTGAATCAACCTTCTTTAGGAAAAATACTAAGATATTAGGAAGAATACCAGATACTAAATGAAGCTTTTTATTTTCCTCTACGTGTACCTCATACAGTCCCTCGAAGAAAGTATTTTTGTCCTCTGTGCTCCATGATTCCCACTGCCGTCTGACCTTCTTTCCTTCCTCCTTCTCTCCAGCTGAGGAGCCCAAGTTCCTTGCCGCTGACTTGGAATTCCCAGCAGGATTGCTGGGAGGAATTCCTGATGTGCCACCAGATGCAGTCCCTCCATTATCTGCTGCTGCAAAAAAACATGACCAGAGTGAATATTAAACCAAGAGGAGGATTCATGGATAGAGGTAAGTGAGAAACTCAGAATTTCCTCCTTCTTCACCACTCCCATCTGTATCAGTGTTTTTTCAAGATATTTCAAGATATTTCAAGATATTTTCCCTATACAATAGGGAAATAGCAAGGGTTTTTTTAAAGAAATAAAATCTCAAAGAGAAAAAAAAAAGGGGAAGGTTCCAATGGCTTAATTTTGTATTTCCAGAGATAAGACAGATAAGCAGGAATATACCAACGCAACCTCTAAAAGACAACACACTCTCTGATGCTTATACACTGGTCTGCTCTGCAGTTGCCCCTTTGCAGCTGAGGGGAACTTCTGAGCAATGCTGAATATTGATGCGACCAATAAAGTCAACTAATGACCATGAGAAAACATAGGTAATTTCATATCCTTGTCTTTAGTCTTGATCCTACTGCCTCTGAAATAACTGTGGTAATGAAAGGACTGAAAGATGTCTACTGTAGTTCATCACATGACAATCAATCAGCATCCTCAAGAATCTGATCCTAGCCCATCTAGGATAATTCAAGGTATCCCAAGGATGGCAAGTCCCAACCCCTTCTCCTGAACTATAACCCACAACAAAATCATGGATCAGAACACTAACGTTTCAGAGAAACTTATCCATTCCTTTTATCCAGTGTTCTCTACCCATCTATATGCCCCATTATTAGGACTTCATTTATCTGTGAATGGCATAACATCATCTCAAACCACATTTTCTATAGAAAAAGCTGTCGTCTTTGTAGTTCTAGGCAAAACACAAACACTTGCAAAAATTTATCTAAAGGGATTTAAAGACTGCAGTTTAAAAATCTGATATGAAAATGACAAACAATGGAACACTGCATGTATCAAATAATTGAGTCACTGATAGTATCAGTGTCTTATCATGGCTACAGCCGCAAGTTCTTCCTTCCAGGCTCTACGTAGCATCTTGATGTTTGCTTTTCAATTTTCCATTGGCAGCTCTTACATGCCAGCTGATTCGTATCCTCTACGACAGATTCCACATCCACAGAAGTGGAATTCACACGAGTTAATCCCCACTACACCCATATGTCTCAACACACAGATTGGTTCTGTTATTGGTGTTCTACAGGCTTAGCTTGCAAAATCTCAACTTCTTCAGGAGTCACCAGTCAACGGTAGGTGGAACATCTATCAGAGAATACCTTTATGAATGAGAAGGTACTTTCACAGACTCTTGCATGCCGCAGGCCAAATGCGGAGCATTAGGATGCTAAGCTCGCTCCCCAAAGCTCAGGATGCGAATGCCAACTTGTAACACGCCAGAAAGTTTCCTTCAGAATATTCTTTCTTCTCTTTTGGATTCTACAGGAGCCAATTGCAAGGCTAAACTACACAAGATCACCTTCAAAAGTGGTTTCGATAAACATTGCCATTAAGGAGACCGTACCAGAAAACACCTTCGAGTGACTGTTTTATTCTCACAAACCTGCATTAGTGCTCAGCAGTCTTATGACCTGTACATCAAAACACCTGCTGCCAACAGAGCTGGGTAAGGTGCTATGATCTGTACTTTCCAGAAAGCTTCAAATGCATTCTGCTATTCTCGTGGCAGAGCATTCCTCAATGAGCATTTACTCCTCTATTTTAATGAAACAGCAATCGAAGAGAAACGTCCAAACTTTCTTTCTGATCGCTTGGTAAACGAGCCCCATCTCCAGCCACATATCTTTCTAATGGCAGATACTACATCATACACTTCAGTGAAGAAATGAATCACGTGATCCCATAGAAAGTGTGCACTTTAGGAATTTAAGTGAAGCCACTTGCTCTGTGGAAGGACAACCCAACAAAGCTGCAGGCTGGATCCAATTTGCTTTCGTCTCCAAGAATTGTAGCTGAGAAGAGAATACAGGCGAGAGACAGAGAGAGACAGACACATTCCCTGCAAGTCAGCGCTTCAGTCTGAGTACTAACATTGTAACTGGAAAACAAGTTTCTACCTTGTATGCCTCCACAGTAAATAGCACAACTCCTAAGAAGGGTAAGTCTAGGACAGCTTATGCCATATTGCATGGTTATACCATATAGCGTTCTTATTATGAATTAACATCCAAAGTTTTAAACACAACAGGTAACTGTCCTACTAGTCTAGCTTCTTCTGCCTCTTATTTTTTAGAAAATTTGCACAACCAAGATCTAGTTGAATGTATTTAAACTTACACAGTGTCAATTATCAGTAGGAGTCTACAAACAAAACTATACTGAAGGCTTGCTTTTCTATGGACAGCATATATTTAATATATAATATATCAAATGCAGCGCTATCTGAGCCAACCAAGCATAGCTGTAAAAAATAAACACGGTTTATTATAAATTTGGTTACTTTCTCATCTCCAGTAAATCATTACTCTCTTGCTCTTCCATTAGAAAACATCCATAAAGCCTAGTATGAAGTTCCATCTAATGAATGTGGTTGCGCAGCCTTGCAGGCAGGCACCTTTCAAAGTTCAGTACCTACTGCACAGGGTACATGAAAAAAATCCTCCTCTTGTGGTGTGGGATGAGATACTGTAGAGTTCTGGTCCTGAGGGCTCTTGGGGTAAATGGGAGGGCAAAGAAGGAAGGAAAGCACATCAGGGTAGGATGGAAGGAGAAGTGCCAAGTGTAAACGAGATGGACAGAATTAAGGAGAATATTAGAACAAGGGACCATGCCAGTAGATTTTAAACAGTCATTCATACCCTAAACCAGTAATTCTGGAGGAATGACATTTCCAATGAAGGTTACAATACATTCTGTCTGCAGCATACAAATTTGGGAAGATACAATAAAATTGTATTGTATCTTGGTATATACATCCTCTCCACAGGAGAAGACAGTAGTTAATCTAACCCACGTGCTATGGGACACACAACTTTGGTAGGCTGAAACAAACTGGACTGCTTTCTAGCAAGTTTTATGCGATGTCAAAAGATGGAACATTTTAATTCAGTTAATGCTTCCAGATGAATAATTCTTTTTTCAAGAAGGAACTGCTTATTACTGCAAAACAAATCCAAATACTTATTTGGGCCATTCTACACATTTTATGAATAAATCTAGAGCAATGGTGTGAAAGACATCTTCAAGCTTCAGCTCATCATCATTAGACTTTGTTCCTCCTGACTTCATTCTGCATTCAGAAAATGGATAAAAACACGGAAATGGGAACGCTCTACTCTAGTTCAAACTAGATCTACAGCACACGATGACAATGTATTCTGCATTTGCTTTTACCAATGTGGTCACAACATACACATGCATATTCTAATCACTCTCGCTTCATGGAAAAAAGCCCCAAAACACACCTTAAAACCTGTGCTCAGCAACCATGTGGCATATTTGTATTTGAGAAGTAAACTCTCAGAAATCCCTCTTTTCCAAACCTTATATCGGTCTGCTTCCTCTCCCTCAACAAACCTCCCCGCTTTAGAACTCTCACAATAAACTGCCTCCAACCCCCTCCATTCCTTCAAGTTCCTTCTCTGATTTCATGCAAGTTACTTTAAGACTTACTTCCAAGCATTCATACTTCAAAAGGCGTGCATTATTTGAGGTGTAGGGTACGAACTTGAAAATACAATAAAATGATGACCAACATTTGAAAATAAGATAATAATAATTCTAAAAAAAAAAGCATATATTTAGATATTTGTGCAGGAAATCTGATAAACCTTTCAGCAATTCAAAGCAGACTGGCTTTTTGAAGTGAAATAGTTTTCAAACTTTATTTTACTGTGTTACTTTCTATGCCACTTTTGCCCTAAGCTCAAAAGTGCAACTCAGTACACAAAAGGCAAGAGACAGAATTCAACGATGCAATAAAAGATTACGTGAAGGCAGTCTGAAAAATTATATTTATACATTCTACTAGGCAAAATTTGAGAAATATTATTAACAGTCTTCCCTGAACCACAGTAAGGTAAACTGAAAAAGTCAGCAGCCACTGAGTGGGCAAACTCTTCCTACAATTTACAATACAGTTTAGTTTATCTATAATTTGTCTGCTACAGTGAAGCACCCTAAAAGCACAAATGCCAAAAGTAAAAAGGGATCTGCAACAGACAGAAAAAAAATACTATTTTCAAAACTCTTTTAAAGACATGATTAGGACAAGTCAATGCCTGCTAAGTTAACTACAACTTGAAAGAAACTAAGTTTATTGATTACATTCCTTAAAGAGTTTTCACCTTAGAATACACAGATTCTAAAAGCAGGACCACTTTAATAAAATTTTAAGGGTTACATAGCATTATTGAAAGACCATGACAGAAATAAGTTTCTGGTTTCACTGGACCAAGTATAAGTGTGGTCTAGACACTCCTGCTGGCCAATGTCAAAATTACCTTTGCAGCTATCACCTTGACTGTGACATGCAAAATGGAAAAGCTCCCAGTTTTCAGAGCTGATCCAAAGCACACTCATCTGAGCTTTTTATCATTTTTATACTTACAGGGGGAGGAGAAAGTTGGTGGGACAGCAAGTGGAAGGATTTAAGTCCAATCTTTATTAGTAATCTTCACCCTTCCATTAGCTCCCTATTGGAAGCTATCTCTGTGAGACACTTCTCTCGGAATGCAAAGCCCTATAAATTCTCATCACAAGGCATTCCATTAGGGAGAATTCAGACAAGCCTGGAAAACTTCTCAGTATGCATCCCTGAATGTAAAGAACTCAAATTAAAAAGGATCCCACTCCGTGGCTCTGTTCTCCGAGATCTGACAGTTATAATCTCAACCGTATCAGAGAAATCAACTGTAATGCAATCACATCAAAACTAGCCAGGCAGAGCTGTGGCTGGTCATACAATTCAAAAAGTGAAAGCATAACCATAATTCTACCACTGACTGTCACCCCCAATGATTGAAGAAGTTTCCCTGAATCTGACAACAAAGTCAGGTACAGTGATTACAAGCACTACCTATGACCAACTACTGAAATAATATTTTCCATTCTGTATATAATTTTATTAGGATTATTTTGGAATCTGAATTGCAAAATAAACAAAGTTTGCTTTTCAATTGTGTCGATACACCTAGTTAAAAATCGTTCTGCTGCCCTAAAATTAGAAATGAATGTTGATGTACAAATACACAAACATGAATATACATGTGCACAAAGATACATGTATTTTGCTCACACGTGTATACACTTTCAAAGCAATGGAATAATTTCAAATACATATATTCGACTTGTCAATCATAGACAACATGTATGCTAAAGAAATACCTCCTTGCATTTAATACTATTTACAACCCTTGAAATAATTATCTGTAGCTAAACACTCCTGGGTATTCTACCTCTTTGTTTATTTGGTTTAATGCAACTGGGAGAAAAATTACATAGGCCTTTCTGCTCTATCCTCCAACATCACACATAGGAGATTTTCACTTAAAACAAAAAGTTTAAGAGATTAAAGCGGACTTGCTAAGGTATTAAAAAATACTTTAGTCAATTATATAAACTAATTGTCAAGCAACTGAGTTAAAGAATTTTTTCATGATAACTAAAATATCACAATTTGCACTGCTTTATTACTGTAATGCAAAAGTATCATAAATTGTAATGTTTACCTAATGTCCAGCATGTGCATACCACTGCAGTGGACCAAAGAGTGAGGTAATCTCCAAGACACATTTATGCTACGTGGAGTTTTATTTCGTTTTAGCAGACAAGAGTAAACTTTGTTATTTCAAATGTTGAAGAAATCTCCGAGCGTTGTTTTTCTCAAAAATTGACAGAAAATAACACTTGAGTACTTTTGCACAAGGTATCCAAAATTAGTCTCAAGTACAGCTCAACTACAGTGCCAGGTGTCATCCAGTAACTGCTGAGCACACACAATAGCACCAAGATATTCAAATATCCCTGCTGTCTTCTAGCTACTCAAGTAAGAAACAGCTTTGAAAAAAATCAAATTCTTATCTACAATGCTAAAGTGAAAACGCCTGTGTCTGTATGTACATATGTATGTATGTACATGCAGACATTCAGATGTATACAAAACAATCCTATTAAAAACTCAAAATACACGAAAATGCCCAAACTGTTCTGAAACAGTAATGCAGGACTCACAAAACCTTAGAAACAAATATGTCACTGTGTATTTCAAAGCTGTTTCCAAAATAGTTCTTTGGATAAAACGGCCATAGAAATAATTGGGGGAAATCACCAATGTCTTGTGGGTTGTTTTTTTCCCTTTTTTAACTAGCACGCAGTGAAAATTCTGTTATTATCCAAGAACAGAATTCAGCGTATAGCCACCTGATTACACAGCTAGCTGGAGTCTAATTTCCTAACCAAAATACAAGAATTTCCTAAAACTCAAGAGAGATGAAATGCAGGAATTAAAGGTTTGCTTCAATAATGGAGATTTCTTTCTCCTCCACATACATATCCAAGCCTCCCATTTCTACAAGTGCAAAGAGGATAGTGGGCAGCAGAGAAGCTGAAGGTTTGGGACACAAAGAAGATTTCAGCTACTGTGAGAAACAAGCCCCAAAACACCTTCCCCAAAACCAAACAAAAGATGGCATCTACAGGAGGAGAATGACAACCCCCAAACCCACAGGTGACTTCCCCCGCCACCTCCCTTGCCTGTGTGATTTAAGGGTGCCAAAATACAGTACCTTTGCCTTTTGCAGCAGTACTGCTGCCAACTGAAGAGGATGCCTGGGAATCCTTCTTCAGCCTCTTGCTCTGAGGTCTGACGCTGGACCTGAGAAAATGATGCTGGTCCTGGCTGTGGGAGGGCTGGAGGGAGGCCGGGGCCTGCGATAAGCTGGGGTTCGGTGGGGGGCTGCTGTTAGTGTTGTTGTTAATAATCTTCTCTTCTTTCTTTGTGCTGCTGCTGCCTGGAGCTGCCTCTCCTCCTCCTCCTGCCCCTTCTTCTTCCAGGGACTCCTCATCTCCTCCTGCTCTCTTGCCCAGCTTTTTCACCCCTTCCTCCCCGCTGCTCTCTCCCAGTTTCACTGTCATCCTGTTGGGGAGGAGAGAGAGAAAAGAGGGGGGCACAAAGTCAGGCCAGGGAGCCCCCCAGAGAGGGAGAGAAATCCCTGGGCTGAGAGGGGAGAAGTTTAGCTGCAGAAATTCCTCTC